GAAACTCTGCCGGATTTTCGGGAGACGTCTGAATTATGCAGAACTTTGTAATTTTGCTTAAGATTAGAAGAAACATATTGTAATCTGATCGTCCTGACTTGTGGGACGAATCAACTTCTTGTAATTTACAAAACACTAGTGGAACTTTTCAGCTAGGCGTGACCCCCTAGTTTTTTCCCTCTTTCGGGTTTTCCGCGTAAAAATCCTGATGTTCATTTTCTTTTCTGTTTGTGTGCTGAATATTCGTGCAATGTTCAAACGTGAATTTGTAAACTCTACCGTCGCGTATATTCTAGCCCGCAACAATAGTAATAAACAACAATTGATGGAATTTTATAGTGGACCAGCATCAACTTATCAACTTGGTTGCTGAAAGACTTAAATTATAATATTTTATATTAGTTCAAATTTGATCCCTTCTTTTTCTTCTTTAACGCTTCCATTAAAATAACAAAGAAAAAGTGACTTAAGGTATCAAAATATAACATAGGAAGTCATGTTCTTGGGCATTTTTATTAGATAATCCTTAGTTGATGTGGAACTATAAGACTATCATTCTAAAATGAATTATATGAAATATAAAATACTCAATGCTAAAATATTAATTACATATTCAAATTTCTTTGTAAAAGTTCTATCAAAGAAAGAATTTTCATTATATTCACGCACTCATTGGGTCTAATTGGGATATCTTTTTTATTTGCTTTGCTTTTTAGGTAGTAACTATAATTTTGGTTTTATTTGAGATGACTTTCTGTTTGCTTTCTAAAACAGCTTTCTAGTACAAAATTTTTTGAATTTGAAATTTTTTTTGTTAGAAAGTCATTTTAAAAAGCAGTACAAAAGTTGCCCAAACGAAGCCTTAATATAGTTATTGCTTTCTTATTGGTTTCTCGTTATTTTTCAAAAGCTTTTTTGTGGTGAAAAACACTTTTTGTTATTAGAGTAGCTAAGGTTTCATTTAAGGCTGCTTTCTTACTGCTTCTTAAAGCTATTTTTTGTACAAATATTTTAATTTTTTTACTAAAAGATTGCTTTAAGAATCAATAAAAAAGTCGTCCCAAATAAAACGTAAATTGCATTACCTATAACAATTTCACAATCAACTTTGTAAAATAACGGAGTCACCTCACAAACTCCCAAAATATCATTTTTTTATGATTTTATAATTATGTAGTCGGTAAGAGAATTGCAATTTATGGCTAATTTCTATATTATCTTAGGACATATTTGAAGCAACTTTCTTATTACTTTTAGCACCACAACCACAATCAGTTAATCATGTAACGCAACTCCTTTCACACAGATCTCTTCTTAATCGAATTAAAAAAAAAAAAAATCCAATCTCTACTCTATCGCTATCAGCGTCTTGATGACAAGCACGCTCTTGTTGCCACCTACCTTTATTGTCTTTTATATACTGCCACGCTGAGCTCATCAAATTTCTTTACGAAATATTTTTTTTTTTTGGAAAATTCTTTACGAAATATTTCTAGCTTAGAGCATTTGATTGAGATAAATATGGATTGCTGATAATTTTCTTAATTATTTAAAATAGTGTTAAGACTTAAGAATAAGAATAAAATAATTTGAAGCTGAAATAATGATATACAAAAAAAAAAAGTCATGGCTTCTTGCATTATTTATTTTTTCTTGTTAGGATCATAATTTTCAACTTTTGCATCCTTAAAATTTTTTTTGATAGGACACAAATCTAAATATATATGTTAATTAAAAATTTTTAAAATTAAATTCAAAATTATCTAAACTCTGATTTCAATAAAGTTTAGGTTTTGTTTGGGACATCTTTTAACTATTTTTTAGTACAAAATTTTATTGATATTGAATGCTGCAATGAGACAAATTCAATGATACTAAAAATAATCAAATTAGCATCTGAATGAGCTCATATCAAATACTTAAAGTGTAATTGAAAACTTCAAAGTATTAATTGAATGATCAAATAATTTTCAAATCATGCATGTTTATAGTCATATCGAGCTACTCGACAAACCGAATATAATAAGCCCAATTCGACTCAATTTGAGCCTAAATGGGTCCAAAACAAGGGTTTGAAGCGTGTTAAAGGGTTCAAACCATAATTTGGATTACCAAACGATTTCCAAACTTGATATGCTTCTAGTTGAATCAAGCGGCTCGACGAGATGAATCCAAAGAGACCAAGATCACAGAATTCCGACATCATTAAGACCTTCAGATGTATAGCGAAAGGTATACGATCAAGGGATTCAACATGGGCCGTCCATCCAAACCACTCCCCATTTGCCCTTGATCATCCTCCTATTTACGGGCCATACCACTCTAGGAACTATAAAGTTATGCGTGAAAATTTTGTCAATACAAAATTATTCACATTTTTCAGTAACGTAAACAAAAATTTGAGTGGAAAAATATCAAAAACACAAAATATTTGAAATTAGAAATAGGATAAAGGTTCCTTATGGTGAGACGAACAAATTTTCCAACTAGCTCGATGGACAAAAATCGCACTGCGGCATCCAAATCTTAACTTCTTTCTATCTCTCTTCTCTCTCTCACATGTCCTCTTTTCATTTCTCTGTTTATCGAATTCTTGAGGGAAAGAAATCTAAAAAGCTTTTTAATAAAATATCTTAGTGATTTATGATATTTATAATAATATAATATTTATTTAATAATTAATTAAATCAAATTTTTAGTATAAAATTCAAATAAATCATATTAGGACTCCAAAAATTTCAGAAAAATATCCATAATATAAATCATGATATTTAAAAAATATCGATAAAATTGGTTTGCAAAAGGGACACCTGACGGTCCTGAAATTCTCACTTGTACCGATAGGTACAAATTCCTTAAAGATTTTCACCGGTGTTCAAAAATTACGAAAAAAATTCATGTAAGTAAAATACTTCAATCAAAATATCATGACGAATATGGTTTAAGATTTGGAGTTATAATAACTACATAAAAAATTAGCAAAGTCAAAATACGGGTTATTGCACCCCTCTCTCTTGAAAAGGGAACCCTAAGCTTATGAAGAAAAGAGAGAGAGATCGGAGATCGCTCTTGCTTTCTCGATCACTGTCGGAGTTCTGCCGGCCATCACCTGAAGCCCTGAGTTCCATCGAACCACCACTTGATGCCGTAAGTTTCACCAGACCACCACCCAACATCCTGAGCTACACCGGACCACCACATGATGCCCAGAGTTTCGCAACACCACCACCTGCCACTCTGAGTTCCACCTGGACCACCACCTGACACTTAGAGTTTCATAGAACCACCACCTGACGCCCCTGAGCTCCACCGGACCACCACCTGACACCCGGAGTTCCGCTAGACCACCACTGGATGTCACGACCCGACCCGATCCGGGACGGATCCCGCTCGCACCGAGTCGCGACACGGAACGAAACGACTGACTTACTGACCAGGATCAGGTTATGGAATTTGGTTCGGAACTGAATCTTACAAATAATTTCACTTCAAACAGACACACAGACACAGAGCTACTATGAATCATCAAATGCAGCGGAACAAATCATCTATATTTTTCTTTTCCTCAAAACAATCATCTACAAATACAGTACATGGCTTTTAGACAGAAAGAAAGACAGAACAGAAAAGCCATGACTGTACAAAAATCAAAAGGTACAAAATACCTATACTGATCAGACTCTGAAATCTATTACTGGACTTCCTTCCCTTTCCCAGAACCTGAAAAACACCAGAAAATAAGAGTGAGCTCAACAGCTCAGCAAAGCAACAAACCTCCATTCAAAATTCTCAGAATCTCAAAACCAAACACATCAGACAAATCCGTACAGAAATCAGAACAGAATAAGTCAGAACGAAACAGATCAAATCAAACAGAACTGAACTAAACAAATATCAAAGCAAACAGAACTGTACGGAAACAGAAGTCATATCAAATCAGAAACAGAACAGATCGGACATATCAAATCAGAAACGGAATCGTACAGAAAGCAAAAATTCAGATCATATCGGAACAGAACAGAATCATATCAGAATCATATCATACAGATCAGATCAATTCATATCGTACGGAAATTAGAATCAGATTTGCTTACAGAACAGATACGGAAATCAGAATCATATCAAATCAGATATCATATATTTAATTAATAGCTAAACTAAACTAAACAGAATCACTACGGATTCTGACCCTTATGTCTCCCTTGTGCTCACGACACCAGAAATTCTCTGAGTAATTAATAGCTAAATAATAAAGCAGTTTGTTAAAAATGTAATAATTCGCACAATTTAATTATTTTTAATAGTTTTTTATGTTATTATATTAATTTTTTATATTATATGCATTTCAAAAATGATTTTTAAAATATAAATACAATAAAATATTAACCAAATAGTTAAATGGATCAATTAAAATTATTTTTTACTATTAATAACTGATTCTAAAAATATTCATAAAATAATAGATGGATAGACTAAATATAATTTATTTTTATTTATTTAAAATTTGATATTATAATATTGATAAAATTATTAGATGAATAAATTAAAATATTTTTTCTTTTGTTATTCATACTAAATTAGAAATGATTCTCAGTGGATTATAATTACTTCTTATAAAATTCATATGTATTATTAGTAATAAAATTACTTTTAAATTATTTGAATCAAATATATAATTAGTTCGATTTAATTACAATTTGAATCTTATAAAAATTTTAAATATTACATATTTATAACATTTAAATATTACATAATTATAAAATATAACATCATGTAATTTTCTTAACTATCATGCCTATGTATGTATACATGTCACAGAATCAAATTAATAGGAATATAATCAAAATGGAAAATCAACATTAAAATTTTATTAATAAATTTAAATTTTTGAATGACAATTTAAAAATAAGGACAGAAAGACAATAATTTCGTAAATGATAAGAATTAAAATGGTATATTTGCAATTGCGCTTATTTATAAAATAAATTCTGTAGAAAGCCAACGCTCTCACATCTCCTCTTTCCTCTTTACCTTTTAGTTCTACTTTTGGCAACCACTCACTTGACGGTCTGTTCTCCTCCCTTACCAACTTCTAGCCCTCGTCATCCTCTTGGATTTGCTTCAGGAAATGATGGTAAACTAACGCTTTTTCTCCCTCTGATGCTTATAGTAATCTGAGCTGCGGTTAGTTTTTGCTTAGCCATTTTACTTTTCAGAAGGCGTAAAGTAAGCGCCTTTTTTTGAAAAATCATTTCAAATTCTTCAATCCTACGCTTATTTGACCTTATTGGATTTTTTTGTTTAAGATTCTTATCAAAAGTTTTGGTTTGTCTTCTTTTTCCATGGATATAAATTAAGATGCCCTGATTCATGTAGGGTTCTTGCTTATTTACTTTTACTACAGAAATTAGAAGATATTTGATTTTTTTTTTTTTAATTCGAAGTTTATTTTGAGCTGTGAAGCTGGATTCTGCTTGATTTCATTGTAATTTGATTGCAGAAGCTTGTTTTGAAATTAGACTTGCATGATGATAAAGCCAAGCAGAAGGCTTTGAAGGCAGTCTCCACTCTTCCAGGTATCTTATCAATTTGTGGATTTCGTTATGACTGTTTTAAGATGTCGAACGTCATCTGGAGACCAACTAGAATGCACCACGTCAGTCGGAGACCAACCAGAATGCGCCACGTCACCCCTTTGCTCGTTACCGTGGCTCGGTATTGCTTGGTACATCGGCTCGGTACTGCTGACGTGACGCATTCTGATTAGTCTCCTCGTTCTGAGTCCGGTCTCATGACAGAATAATTTCTCCTGTTTGACATCCTATTTAAGGCAGGATTTAAGAAAGAATTGGCTTAAATCTGTACAACAGAATATTGGGGATTTTAAATTATACTGTTTTGAGCTTCATTATTATTGATTGAACTTAATATTTGTTAAAGTCCCACTCGGTCAAAATTAGCAAAAATTAAAGATTGAGAAAATTCTACCTGGCTCAAATCTTTTTATGAAACAGCCCCTGAAAATATCTCTTCTGATTGCTATTTCTGATGACTTTGCTCTCATAGGAATCGACATGATTTCTGTGGACATGAACGAGAGGAAGCTGACTGTGATCGGAACAGTCGATCCAATTGACCTGGTGAGGAAACTTAGGAAGTTCTGGCACACTGAACTCCTCTCTGTTGGACCGGCCAAAGAGCCTGAGAAGAAGGAAGAACCAAAAAAGGAGGAAGCGAAGAAAGAAGAACCAAAGAAGGAGCCCAAGAAAGAAGAAATTAGTGCTCATGAGCAGATGATGATGGAGTTTGTAAATTCCTACAGTGTTTATAATCCTGAGATGACCACTCACTACTACGTTCCAAGTGCAGAGGAGAACCCGAACTCCTGCGTTATCTGCTAAGGGCTTCATTTCCTGTTGGATGAATGAATGTGTTGCGAGTCTTCAAATTATTAGCCTGAAGACTCTGTAAATGCTCTGTTGATTGTGATTTATGTATGTATAACGTTAAATTAATGTTTGATTTAAATCGTAAACATAGTTTATCCAGTTCTAATTTTAGTCTCCAGGAATACATATTTTCATTTCTCAGGGGCTGTTTGGTAGCACCCAGGATTTGATTTTAGTAGGATTTCGTAAATCCTCTAAATCCGGATTTCGGAAATCCGGAGGGGCCTAAATCTTGAAAACTGTTTGGTGACATTCATAATAAATTCTATTAAATCTTGTATGATTGTTTGGCTATAGTGAATATTTCACGAGCGGGCTCTTCCTCTAGCCGAAAAGATGGAATTTTCCGCATACGACAGCTACGGCGGCTTTCATTTGCTGTGAGATTTGATTTTGAATTTTAGGTCGTTTGACTGGATTTCGCTCAAAACAGTGTCAAATCCAGCCTAAACGCTGCTACCAAACACCCCCTTGGTGTTTAGAAGGCTAAAGTCTTGGCAGACTTAAGTGCCGAAGCATTTTCTTTTGTTCAGGTATTTTATATTTTCAGCTTTGTTTTAACTTTATTTATTAAAATAAGCCTTTTGACAAATTTTTTACTTTTAGCATGCTATTTGTTGAACAAAACATGAGCGTATTTACTTGATTTATGTTATCTCCCTCAGAGAAAATTAGTCGTTTGTTTAAACCAACGCTCTTCCTCAACAATGAAGAAAGGAGAATTATTATATCACTTACTATATAGTGGATTTTTTAACTGATCCAAACCCCTTGATTTTTTCTCTTTATGAGTTTTTCACATAAAAAATTATGATCTTATTGCTTTTTTCTATGCATACTGAATTTTTGCACAACACTAAGACGTAAAATAAACATATATTCTATTAACTCAAATTTTCTAACACATAACATATATAATTAAAATAACTGTGCGCCATGAGCTATTTTGTTAACTTCAATAGTTTCTTATTTTTATCTGCTTTTATTAGAAAGGTATCAAATTTGATCATGGATATCAAGATATCAAGAAGATTAAAATCCAAATGTTTGACAGCTAAACTTTAGGGTCCAGAAGATGCAAATAGAAAACTATTTGAACGACCAAAGAAACATACATTGGCCAATGAAGAGGGAAAAGCACAATCAATTTATTGGAAGAGTGAGACTTAGGCTTCGTTTGGGACGACTTCCTTGCTGCTTCTTAAGGCGATTTTTTAGTAAAAAATTAAAAAATTTTAACTAGAAAGCCACTTTAAAAAACAGGAAAAAAACCGTTCCAAACGAAGCTTTAATGGATAAATAAGATCATTAAGAGGAAGCAAGGGCAGCTACAGAAAGGTTGGTAGCACGATCAGTCTATGGAAGATGTTTAACAATTAGGATTTGTTTGGCTGACTAAAGGGCCGGTTTAATACTTTGGCTTCGTTTGTGATTATGTTTTTTATTGATTTTTAAAGTAGTTTTCTTGTACAAAAAGTTTTTTGAACTAAAATATTTTGTACTATAAAATTATTTAGAAAGCAATAAGAAAGCCGTTCAAATGAATAATTCTGCTAGGATTTACTAATGATTAAAATTACTAATATATTATAAAGTCACAAAAGACGGTGTTTGACATTCCACAATAAGAAGAAAATAGAGGTGAGAGAGTGAGTGAGAAATGGAGGCTGCCATACAAGAAAGAAACCTATGAGTTTTATGGAAAGCTTGTAGGAGGAGGAGGAGAAGCTCTTGGCCTTAACATGGAGAAACTTTTGTTTAAAACTCTAATAAAGAAAAGCGAGGAAGATTAACATAATAACAATTTTTTGTATCTATAATTAGCTCTTATTTTTATAAGAGTCATTCTTTCTCAACTATTAACATAGCCGCATTTTTTTCTAACTCAGGTATCATTTAGGACGGCTTTTTTACTGATTCTTAAAGAAATTTTTTAGTTTAAAAATTTTATACTAGAAAGTTGTTTTTAAAAACAGTACGAAAACAACCCCAAACGAAGCCTTAGTGTATTATTTGATCTAGTGTAGCTATAGGTAGCTCTAAATATGAGTATTATCGAATTACATAAAAGTACATGTTATATCTATAATCTTGGATTTATTATCTCCTACTTATTCAAACTTTTGTTTGAGATTTTATTACTATTCTAATAAATAATCTTCTATTAAAAATAAGAAATGCTTAATCATTCTTATATGGTAACAGGTCATCTCTCAATTAATATAATGTTGTGTAGCGTTTTAACAATGATTTTTTTAGAAGTTTTAAATTTCTATACGCCAAATTATTGTGTTGGTATTTGACGTCATCCGAAGGCCAATCAGAACACTCCACGTCATTTTTTTGCTTGATAACAATGCTGAGTACCGCTGCACACCAAATGGCGCGTTCCGATTAGTCTCCAGACCTCCGGTGTCCACACATAATAATTTCTCCTTCCAATTAATGCCATCCGTTTGTACATATTACTATATCAGCTTATCAATTAAATATTGAAACATATTGATTGGCCTCATGAAAAGCTCAGAAAGTTTTAAAACCGGTTTAGAAAGCAATAAAAAAGCTGTTCCATGTGAAGCCTTTGTAGTTTTCTTAATGTTTTGTTTTTCAAATAGCAACCACAATATTTGTTTTGACTATTATTTTTTGCTGTTTTTAAATTTTTTATTTATTAAGAAGCTATTTTTAATAACAACTTTAAAAATTATTTTATATATGATAGCTTTACAAAATGATAAAAAACTTATCCCAAATAAAAGTTTCTAAAGCATATAATTTTTTATTCCTTCTGCTTATGATTTTTGTTTCAATTTCGTTCTTCATTATTTAATAAATCTGAAAGCATTGATCAGTTTTAAAAAAAAAAAAAAAACCCTCTCCAGATAAGTGGTGGACCTGAAATTTTAATTCTTTGTGCACGTAGAACAATCATTCATTATGTGACAGTGAACTGCTTGCGCATGTAACGATTAATCAAATCGTATGAAGGCATGGGCTCTTAAGCGTGCTGCGAATGATTTGTCTTATGCTACTTACTTATATATTTTTTTTTATTAGGCCGACTCTTCTGTCGTCAAGTAATTAGTATTAAATGCCGCTGATGTGTTTTTCATAGTCCATTAGTTAATTAGCTTAGATGGGTGCATTTTTATAACGAAGAACGAGCTAGATAGCCAGCTCATTTGAGAGGCTGGTTGGTAATTTTGTCTATTAACTAAGATGTTTTGAATTCAAGAGAGATTTTATGTGCGGGGTCTGCATATAGGGAACCGTTTCGTTCTATGACTGTGAACAGTAAAAGTGCAGTAGTGAACAGTAACTATTGCGCTTTTACTGTTCACAGTCACACAATCAAACGGTTCACTGTGTCCGGACTTCATACACAATCAAACGGTTCACATATGTGTGAGCTTGTTTTAGACTTTATTTGGAATATATTTCTTACTGTTTTTAAAACAATTGTATAGTATAAAAATTTCTAATTCAATAGATTTTTAGAAAGTAGTAAGAAAGTTGTCCCAAAAAAATCTTAATTGACTCAAAAGTCTTAAAAAAAAGATGAGCTACTGATCCACAAATAAAAAGATAGGAGAAGACATAAAAGGGATTGATGTCTTAGACTTTGTTTGGGACATAATATGTAAAATATAAGCTACTAATCTACAAATAATTCTTACATCAACTTGCTTTCAATCTTATAGTCCTTTAATTAGATTATTTATTAATTTCTCGTCAGCATATCATCTTATGGTCTCTATCATGATAGATCATCATTGTCGTTTAATAATCAACAAAACCTAATTTTCCTAAGTTTACTCAAAGGTCACTCTTTTCCTTTTATGGGAAGGGTAAGAGTTCAATAAAAAGTTCTATTAATTTTAAGATGTCCTTATGTATAAAATATTTTTGAAAAAATGTTCAAAAATATAATATTTAATTTATGTCTTGTAAAAATTTAGAATTTCGTGTTGTAGATATATATTAAAAAATATCGATGATGGTTTTAAAATAGTGAATTTAACACCTCTTTTAAAAAAAAATTCTGACTCCATCATTATAAACAAATATTTTTATTCATTTATAAATAAATTTTGCATATCATTAATATATATTCTCTTATATTTGTAGTAAATCAATTATAAATGTCATGTTATATATACATATTAATGCACTTACTCTGTGGCACAACAAATCCTGTACCGTCAACAATCCTGAGTGTTGATCTCTTGCACAGATAATCTCAACTATTGATGTATAGCTGATGTACTCAGCACATAAATAAATAAATAAATAAATAAATATATATGTATGTATATATATATATGTATGTATGTATGTATAATTTATAGAATAAACGTATATTTACATACTTTTGATCATGTAATTTAATTGGAATGCTTTATTGAGCCATATGTCATCTTCATAATTTGTAGATCTCCATGAAAACCTAATTTCTCACTTATGAAATAATTTCATCCACATAATTTGTAGATGGAATCATTTTATCATATAAGACTGCAATTATCATAAGATTATGTAGTTTTATGTATAGAAATTAGGAATAACATTACTAATGATGTATTACATACTTTATGATAGTTGAAAATTGTTTATATAACTTTATTAAAGTTAGTAACATAAAATATTTATGTACAAATTATTCATCTATTTCTTTATCACTCAATCTAAGATATATAATTTTTAAATAATAGGTAAAAATCTATTATTTGAATCACAAAATGAGAAAATTTTAATGCTATAAAATTTCGACCCATCAAGAAATATTAGGTTTCATTTATTATTTAAAATAATTTCCCTTTTTATTGAATATTCTCAAAAGGCAAAATAATGGGCTAAAGTAAGTTTGAATTTCATCAAAGTAAGATAAACCTATTTTTAAAAAGATCGAATCTCTCAAAAATTTCTTTCTTATTTATTCTCCCCTAAGACTTTAAAAATGAGTGCGAAAGTCTTGAATTAAAAAGTCATATGATAATTATATCATATAGATTATTGAGTGGGCAAAATAAAAAAAAATAAAAAAGAAAAAGAAAATCTTCTCCATTCTCCAAGCCTTCATTTGTCTAACGGTCAAATTC